GTCATCTGGCAAGAAACTGACAACAAGAACGCCACTGACATCGGTTGGCAGCCATATCTTGTAGTGTCCCCAACCAGGCACAGCGAGGATCACGCGGTCCCCATCCTGGAAGGCGAGTAGCACCGACAGCACCCAAGCGTTTCGTGATCTCCTTCATACTCCTGTGCCAAGTCAAGGGTTGGCCACCTCTCTGTTCCGGCTGCGCACCTCTGGTGATGCAGAGGCCGCTGCAGCTGGATATGCTGGGGTGGGTATCGTATTGAGCGAACGAGCGGAGGCGTCTCTGCTTGACTGGATACCTGTTGATAGTCGCCTCTGTGCGGTTTGTTTGGCAACACCTGTGAGAGCATCTAGAGGAAGTGAGGTTCGTTGTACCTTGTTCATTGTATCTGCTTACGCCCCAACTGACTGTAGGTCTGAATCTGCCAAGGACGGTTTCTATGATCCTCTAGGTGCCCTACTACAGCAGGCTAAGAGCTCATACCATTATGGTTGCTGGTGATGTGAACGCTCAGGTAGGTGGACTAAGCGCTGCTGAGGCCCGTTTGGGTGGTCGTCTTGGTTTGGACACGAGACGCACGGACAACGGAGACCGCTTACTTCAGATGTGTGCCGATCACAGGCTGTTCCTTTGCAGTACGAATTTCCGGGGCAGCGGAAATCGCCTAACGTGGTGCCCAAAAGTTTAGCCCGCGAGATCACTATAACATTCAAGCCTGACCGCCACTTCATAATGGTTGGTTCACTGTAACTCTCGGTCCCTGAGGTAACGGGATTCTGTTTCAGTTGGGACTGCTTTAGTCTGTTGCACTAATCGCAGCAGCACTATGTCTACCGGGAACCGACTGTTGTTCTGCCGTGATATACAAAGTACTTTTGATGCCAACGACAGGTTTTCGATTAAAGTTTGTTCACATCCGGAAGGCGTAGTGTGTGCGCGCGGTGAACTATCCTTTCATCTTTCCACTTTCGGCTGGGCCTGAAAACACTGTCCTTTTATGTACTTATGCCATCGACGACCTTCTCATGACAACATATGATACCTTTTTGCATGACGTTGCTGAGCTGTTACCAATAGAGTCACCTCGAGATGACAATACTAATTTGTTATGAGAATGGGCCGCTGATTGTCAGACATGCTAGTGACCTGCACGTATCGCTTTGGGTTATTCTCTTTTCACTGACCAGGTAACGCGCTCTATACTCCAGTCACACTCGAGCACTGCTGGTCTCATTGCCAAAACACTAGCGACGTTTGTAAACCTTAGTTACATGTAACGTCGGCAGGGTAATTGTTCACCGCCGAAGGTGGAAGTACACCACACCACGGTACGTGGTGTGCTTCTCTGTGGATGTGGAGCATGTGCTGTTTGATTAGGTAGTGATAGGTTGACCGTTTTCATACATCGTTCATCTACATTGGGATTGGGACAGAGGTCGCACGAGCTGTGGTTTATTTACCAAACTAGTGCTGCACTTACAAATTGGTTATTCCCGACATTTTTTTCAAATTTATGGCAATACACAAGCCCTTTACGGAGTAGTGGGCCTACGTGGATAGATATAATAATGACAATCATATAGCTGTAACACCCTAGGTGCACTCCTGCCATACCATCTAAAGGAAGCACGGGGGCTGAGATACTGCCCCAAGCCGAGACAGTCGAGATGCATAGACTGGGTTGGAACCACGGACCTTCAGGCCAGTAGTTTCGCATCTTAATCACGGAGATGGATTAATATATATATATATATGTAGGTTTTCATCATCAGCTATTTGAACGCTACCTGCTGCGTCCAGATTTTAATAACCCGATCATGCCACAATAGGCATGCTTCCTACAAGTTGAGAAATGAACCTTTTATTATTTTTTGAAAGGATATTGCCCAGTATTTATGATATCGCCCTCTTTTTTGCCTACTCTTCAGTACCCGCTTTGCTTTCCCTTTGTTTCAGTCCTTTGCTCGGTAGAGTAGTATTTATATATCAAGAAATAAGTTATTGTTTGTGATGGGAGGTGATGGTGGCAGTATACCAAGACGTGTAGAACTCGTGAAGTCGAAGAAAAAGCCGGAGCATGCCGATCGTCGGGTTGCGAACGCTGCCTTATGGCGTCATTGTTCTCTGAGTCATGAACCTCTTCGACCTCCAATCGTTTCTTGCCGCCTCGGAAGGTAGGTTTGTATCTCTGGCGTTTTTCTCATTCCAATAGGCTATACAATAAAGAAGCTGTCATCAACAAGTTACTGAATCGTTCCAAACTGAATAATACAGCAGATCATGTTAAGAAACTGAAGGACGTTCGGGAACTCCACCTGACTGTGAATGCTGCATACGGAGAAACTTCTGATCCTCTGAAAGACGCTTGCGGAGAATTCTACTGTCCCGTTACTGGTCTTGAAATGTGTGGAGTGCACGCTTTTATATTCTTGTGGAGCTGCGGCTGTGTTTTCGCCAAAAAAGCCCTCGAGGTGGTGCATGATAATCGATGCATGCAGGTTCGTTTTTTAGTTTGAATTGTGTCTCGCTTCACTTGCCTTGAGTTTCCGTTTTTTGCTGCTTTAGTTGTGTGTGATGATTCTCCCGAACTTTCGCGCGCATACTTGCCGAATTAGTACGTACCCGGTAGTCTAGGCGATTTCCTTTCATGTGAACTAGATACCATACTTAGCCCGTCTCATGAAATGTAAATGTCGAAAATATTAAGCCGACTAGCTGACTTTTATATTCCGTTTGCTTATTCCATGCAATCCTCCATCCTTTCTGATTCATTCGAGATGCAGGATCCTGACTGGTTTTGCATTATTTGAGTATATACATCAACCCTTGGTTAACTGCTTCGCAAACTGCCAACCGTGTTGATATACTATGGCTACTTATGCGTGGGGTTACGCCGGCTCCAGTAATAACGCGTAATTCAGCTGTCCATGTGCCTCGATTTGCGGCAAGTTCTGTACAAACGGCAGGCTTCTCATCTCCAGTCCGGTGGTGACTTTAAACCTCCCGGACATGCGCTGCGTGGTCGTCTTTAACTTAAAAAAGATGTGCCTCTTGTTTGTTTGAGCCACAATTCGTGGAGTGGGTGTTGTATAGCATGGATGAAAACTCTTGACTTTCGGAACCGCAAATTTAGTTTCTAAAGTCACCACGAGCCTGTGCCTGGGACTTCCTGCTGGTGACACGCATATTTTTACCAGTGTCTGGCATCCATGCCGTATCATTTTGGTGCGGACGGAAGTGTGAGGGTATTGGTCTCTGTAGCACTGGAATCCCAGCAGGGAGATCACAATCTGACTGATAGAGTAAGTGAACTACAAAGGGATGAATCACTCTTTTTCATGACTCAGACCGCGGCCGTTCGCAAATGCACTGGTGGGATCCAATTCGTTACTGATGGTAACTGCAGTAAAAACCAAGTAGCAGTCGCTGACGCGACCGGTCGAAAGCTGTCTTTTTAGAGAAAACAAAGAAAGCGTTCAGCTGTAGCACCCTTTCGGTGCCTAGCTGCCATGCCACCCGAAGGAAGCACGAGGGCTGGGATACTGGCAGGTTGCCCAAGCATAGACAGGGGAAGTCGAAAGGCGGAGGTCGGATTCGAACCATGGAACTTCCGGTCAGTAAATTCGCGCCCTTACCACTTGGGCCATCTCACCTCTTTTTAGAGGGGTGGATATTATAGACCTCGCAACTTTATAGCTGTCCGTGAACAAAGATTTTTCATAATATTATATATAATATATGCAATATAATATATATATATAATTATTAACATGTAGTCTTTAATTTTCAAAACTCATTTAGCAGCCTGGTCGCAAACCAGCCCCAACTGTTGTCCGGAAAGATGGGATTCTTTTTATATTGATTTTAGTTCTCTATAGAGGAAAATGTTGGTATCTCAGGTATCGTAGATAGTGGTCGTTGGCTTGTTCGCTGAGCTGGGCAATTTGATTGCAAACGTTTCATCACCAATCGAAGTGACATCATCAGTGCGTTATTGTGGAGCGTAGTAGTGCGTAGCGGTGGGTTGGTGGTTGTGATTTTAGTTCAACAAAGCCAACACAAGGCGCCCACCAGCGGGGCTCACTGTACCCTTCTTCCACTGTGCCGTTTGGTTTCCGAGCAAAACGGCTGATTTGCTTTGGACTCAGCTGGTCCCCACGATCCTTGCTAGTGGGTGACTATGTTCCAACCTTTCCCTCCCACGCGATCTCCACCGCATCTCACTCTTATGATAAAGGACTGCCTCGTTGTCGTTACTTGCCTATGTTGGCCCCTTGCTAGTTGTATTTCCATGACTTGTCTTCTTGATATTGGCGCACTAGTTCATCTCGTACTTTAGACGCAAGTGGCTAACAAAGAGGATGGCTTCGTCTCTCACTCTCGCAATTCAACTTTGCAACAAGATTAATATATGTGTTTTCCATGTCGTTTTTTGAAGTGTGGCACTCCATTCACCACCTCTGATGTGATCCTACTCAATCCGCAAACCGAGGAAGAGATTGCTATGGCCCAAAAGCGCTTGGAGGAATACGTAGCTGCCAATGGAAAGGTAAGGTATGACCACACATGTACGTTCAAATTGTTATTTTCTTTTGATGTTCGTGGCCGGAATTTGATAATGTCTTCATTTTTGGGGAAAGTTGAGACGGAAATAGTGTCTGGAAGAATAACCTAGCTGCGTTTCCGTTTTTCGAGCGGATCATGCACCTGGTTCTGTATTGACGTGAAATCAGGTTAACATCAAATGAGGTTACCGGATCAGGCACGGCGGACTCACAGTAGGGTTGGCATTCTGATTGCGCGCCAACACAGCGTGATCACGTGACTTAGACAAAAGCGTATCGAGTTGGCTTAGTATTGGTTTCTGAGTGTGGGGCACACAAATCTTGTGCAAAAGTGTGCTAATGCTCATCAGCACATATATGTTCTGTTCTGGTAGCCCACTCTCCATTTAAGGATTTCGCTCAGGAAACATCAACTGTCTTACCTGTAACACCAGTCTTCTGGGCGAAAACTATTTTCTTACTCAGTTTTCACAACTTTCCCATAACTGTCAGATATACACCCTAGTCGAGCTTTTTTTATTCACAACTGACATTTGTGTACTTCCACGAACAATCGGAACATTTTCTGGGATCAAGACCTTCACACACACACACACACACACACACACACTTTCTAATTGAAACTGTGTTGTTCCTCTGCCTACTAGGCTAAGAAACGATCAGCCCCTGTCAATTCCGATTCAAGTGCTGCACCCGCAAAGCAGAAGCCTGCCGAACAGAAATCAAAAGAAGATGGAAAGCCAGATACGGAATCACCCCAGCCAGGAACATCCACAGCGCAACCACCAACCAAATCCACTAAATCAATTCAGGAGGATCCGACTGCTAGCTCCGTTTACAAAAGCTTGTTCACAAGTTCAGAGGAAGCTAAGCGTCAACCAAAAGCCCACTGGGTCACTTACAACCCATTGTATTTTCGCTAAATTGTTTGCTTGTTTGTGAACACTCAAATATTGTAAATATTTCAGACGATTACATTATTTTACGTTCCCCTAGTAGTTTGTGTTCGGGCGAACTGTTTCACTCTGCTGTACAACATTGTATTCACCAATAGACTGGCTACATTTTCATGGGGTTTCGCGGGAGTTCGGTACAAGTGATTTTCCTAGCACCACTTGGCGTCCGTTCACGTACGCACCTGTGGCATTTGCACGCAGCTTGTAAGACAGCAGGAGCGTGCAAAGAACTGTTGAACAACATCGTGACCATCTCATTCACTTAATTCTTTGGGACTGATTTGTTCCCATGCCACGGATGTTTGGAATCAGGATTGATTAGGCCACTTCAAACGGGGATCGAGGTGTGCCAAGTGGTTAGAGCGCGAATTTACTGACCGGAAGGTCCGTGGTTCGAACCCGACCTCTGCCTCTCGACTTCCCCTGTCTAGGCTTGGGCAACCTAGTGGTATCTCAGCCCTCGTGCTTCCTTCCTGTGGCATGGCAGCTAGGCCCCGAAAGGGTACTACAGCTGAACGATTTATTTTTTATTATTATATGTGTATGCTGGTGTATGTATGATGTTTGTTTGTGTGTGTATGCATATGTGTGACGTCCAGCACCAGTTTTCACGGTGGCGCCGCCGTATAAAATCAGTGCGTATGACGTGCTCAACAGATACTTCATGGTAGCATTTCGGTGGTACAAAGGCAGACTTTCTCGTTTTCCAAGACGTGATAAGTTTGAGACTGCCTCACGCACGGGAATGGCACTTGACAAGAGTTTTAGTTGGCGAGCTCTGTATGATGCGTTTCGACGACACCTCTGATTTATCAGAGGTTCGCAGTCTAATTTGCTTGCAGGAAATATTCCGAATCACAGCGAACCAGTACTTTGCGGGTACATTGGTTAGTTTTTCAGCCAGCGCTCCGGCTTCCAGCAGCTGGTGCTTATAGAAGTCGTTGGGTATGAACTGCGGATTTGCGTTGTTCTAAATCGGACTTCCCACCCGTTTATGTTCAGAATATGCTGACAGTCCTTTTTCCTACTGATTCATCGTTGCGGATGCATGAGACCTAACCCTGATTACTGCGTGGTCGAGCCAAGTACCATGCCGGTCACGAAGTACTAGTATCGACAGGCTTCATAGAAGACATGTTTCGAACTGCAGCTCCATTTGAAGCGCTGGAGAGGTAATCTAAAGGGATTATCCAAAGTGCTCTTTTCCGACAACAGCAGGTCCCAATTGCCGGATGGAGATATTGAAATGGTATGGTAACTTTTCAGCTTCATAGAGTCGGGGCATATAGCTCATCCAGTGTTACCTCCTACACGTACTCAATCGAGGTGATGAGGAAACGCAGGCTTGACAACAATAGAAGCAACAGATATGATGGAGGCCGGTGTATAATATACAAAATATGCTTTCAGGTAGAAATGTTAGACGTATGGGTTTTACGACATCTTCGGCCGCACACAGTTCCCAAATGGCTCCCGGGGCTACGTGAAGACTTAAGCCAGATCCCATTAAGGTGACAATTGTCGTTGCTGTAGTTTTTGCTGTTGTTAGTACTTAGGTTCCTCTGTGCTTTGAGACACGGCGATACTGTTAGTGTTCAGGTAACATAAAAGCCCGAATGATATATGGCATATTCAGGGTGGCGCGACATGCTTGCAAACAGATGTATTTTGTTACTGGCTAGCGCCAAGGACTGTTTCGCCACAGAGTGCTGGCCGCCAAATACGGCAATTACGATTCAACTATTCGATGGTGGCATAATACACTCTCCTGGTGACTACTCGAAAGTTATTCCTCAGAAAGTCGCCTGAGCTGCATCGATGAAAAGTAATAGACCTTCGCGTTACCTTGGTGGTTTGTATGATTTCTTGGGATAGTGCAAACCCAATTGCCACAGTGAACTGTCGACATCATACGCCCTTATAGAGGCCAGACTGAAAAGAACATCAAACTATGGTGGATGGTTTAGCCGTTTTCAAAACCGAAAGCTCCCACATTTTGAGGTCCTAGGGGGAGGACGGTTAATTTTGACGTGGTGATTGGAACTCGACAAAATATGTCCGTTGAGATTGTGAGCAATATTGGTGACAAACATGGGCAACTGATGTATGTTGCTTCACCAGCAGCATAAAACAAGGGAGAGTCGTTCGAAATCTTGGCACATTCCTGGAGGGCTATGTTGACAGCACGTCGGAAGACCGCTGAAAACGGTCGACTCAAGCTCCATTGCTAAGTGAAGGTGTTTTTTTAACCATTTTCTTTCGAAAACTAGTCTGGTAGACGCTATTATCTAAAGGTAATTGTGCAAGTCATCCATGACTGTTTATTCATTAGTTGGAGGAAAGGCTTGTGGTTAGTCAAATTCGTCATATCGGTTATCGCTGATCTTAATTCGGAAGCTGACGACAGCATTTTTGATATTTCTTATTCGAATGTGGACAAGCATTCAGTAAGATAACATTTTTGTGTCCCGTGGGTTGAATGTGCAGGAGGCTTTAGCCCATCTGTTTTCTGAGATGATGGGGTTGTGCGTCACAAGCGCATCGTTTGATCCTCCTCGGCAGCTAGATAAGTCACTCCCTCTGTTTGTCTCTGGAAAATCTTCATATAGCCGTCTCCTGGAATGTTGGGACCATCGATGCCTCTACACAACGCGTTCCTGTCACACAGATAAACGTTGCTGAGTTATCCGATTGTCAGTTATCTGCCTTATACATCCCGCTTCCCATTAACAGTAAACAAAATATCACTGTGCGAAAGCCACAAGACCCTTCCCGTATAGGCGTTTTCTACATCATGGGGCAATACTCGCTGTGACCCTATATTCCATTAAAATTGATGTGAGCTGTCTCTGAAACACGCATACACGAACCAAGAGCTGCCATGCAGCTTAGAAGGCCAAGGATGAACTCAGCCGTATCAAATTTCACTCTGTATATCCGGCAATCCAGAAGCGAGGACTCGTGGAATATATGGCGTGTGAGTTGCACTCAGCCCTAGAGCTGAACCCGCTTTGTTGGTTTAGATCCCACTGAACAGCCGTCTTTGGGTCGTCCGGTTATCCGACTCAGTGCTACTCAACATAAAACGTTATGCCTGTTTGAAGTATCAGCTCATGTCCCAACCAACCGCAGTTGTGGTGCTGAGGACACTTTCTATCGAGCGCTATCTGGGCTTATTTGTCTAGCAAGAAACACTGACATTGTGATCCTTACGGGCGATATGAAAGCAGAAGTTGGTCGTCTGACCTCCTTGTAATTACCTTTGGGCGGTTGATTCGGGGTCGGTGCTCGTTGCACAGACAACAGGTAGCTACTCCAGTTATGTGCTGATCATCGGCTATTCCTGGCCAGCACGAACGTTCGCATTGCGTAGCCTGGTGGCCGCCAACCGCAAGTCAAACATGGACCCAGTTGGATCATGTTGCCCTCAGTCACCGATGGAGAACCTCAATTCAAGACCACCGTTCATTCTGGGCACAAAGCTATTCCGACCACTATAGTGCGATCACTCCTGAGAATTCGCTTTACTTCAGGCGCTAGCAAGTCAGCAAGGCACGCCAATTTCGAAGAACTATCATAGCTCAACAGTATCAATCAGAGCTAGCTCAACAAGTTTAAAGTAAACCAATACTGTGCTGGTAGTGAGCATATGGATGAAGCATGGCAAAGTGTGAAAGAAGGTAGATTAGCAGCGTTCAGTGCTGTCTGTTCCACGTCTCCGACACGACCAAATGACCACTGAATATGGTCGAGATCAGGTAATCTAAACAGCGGGCACGATGGCGCACACAAATCCCTAAACACCAAATAGTAAATGGCGTAAGAAAAGACCGAGAGCTTTGGTGGACATCCAAGGCCCAGGAATTGGAGAACGATTGTGCTACCCAAAACGTCTAAGCCTCGTACCGATTAATACGACCGATTAGCCAGAGGAAAGCAACGGTTCTTCAAACAATAAGTGAGAAAGGCGTCTCATTAACTCGCTCACGAAATTTTATCTGGAAAGGTGTGCCGAACATTTCGAAGAAAAGGTTAGCTGGCCTCTTGCAGCACAGCTGCGGACGAATGGAATGTCAAACCCCATGGCCCGTCAGAAGAAAACAATGTGAAATATCCGTAGTGAAACGTGAGACGGAATGAGAACTAGCCCTCTTCAAAGGCAAAATCTCCCTGGTGACCCGTCTGAAAAAAACTGGTTAATGTGGTGAAGAAAAAGTACATGCAAAATGAAGCACATCGATAGTCGTTTCTATTTTCAAAAGCCGTGGACACACGCCGTGTGAAACCACTGTGGCTTTAGCCTAGTAGCCGTGTCTCTCTCTGGTTTTATCCTTCGAACACATGAAGACACAGATATCTGAACCAAGTGGTTAAAGCGCGAATTTACTGACCGGAAGGTCCGTGGTTCGAACCCGCCCTCCGCCACTCGACTTCCCCTGTCTAGGCTTGGGCAACCTGACAGTATCCCAGCCCTCGTGCTTCCTTCGGGTGGCATGGCAGCTAGGCACCGAAAGGGCGCTACAGCTGAACGATTATTATATTATTATTATTACGTAGCACATAATTCACGGGGCTGTGGAAAGTGTTCGACAATTAACACCCACGCGGCGTGGACTTTGTCAACCTTGTGTTCTGTTTAAACCTTCATTAAGCATATTTAAGCAAAT